AACAAATACTCGGAGGAGCCTCATAAAACCAATGAAGTAAGCATTTATCTTCCTCATAGCATCCATTTATCTATTTCTTCAACCAAAATTTGTTGAAGGCTTATGTGTCTGTTGAGTTTAAGATAGATTACTGTGGAGTCCAGGCCACTGACCTCTTTCTTGTGAATTACTGCAGTAACATGCTAATTAGCTTTTCCTTCACTCACCATTGTCCTTTCCAATCTTTCTCCACTCAACATTCAGTGATACTTGTAATGCACAGATTTGGTTGTGTAAACCCTGATGAAAACCTTCTGGTGCCTTTGCAATGCACTTAGTATAAAATTCAAATCAGCCCTACATAATCTGACCCCTCCCAAAGTCTCCAGCCTTCCTTTATGCCACTTTCCCCTACTCCCCGTAGTCTAGCTATACTGCACTTCTCTCACTTCTTCAAACTTACAGTGCTAGTCTAATTTAGATGTGTCACATACATGTTTTCATTATCCCATATACAAACATTTCATACATTTATTCCACTTTATTATGTTCACTGATTTCTCTTGCCTTACTAGGATGTAAGCTTCTCAAGATGACAGAGAGACCTTTCGTTCCTAGTTTCTAGCAGTGTCTGGCTCAATAATCAATAAAAGTTTGTTGAGTGCCTGACTGACCAAACAAAGGAAAATACAGAAGACAGGAGGAGGAGCTAGGCAAAGGAAAGATGATGTTTGTTTTTATTTTATTTTTTTTAAGGATTTTATTTATTTATTTGACAGAGAGAGACAGCAAGAGCAGGAACAAAAGCAGGTGGAGTGGAAGAGGGAGAAGCAGGCTTCCCGCTGAGCAGGGAGCCTGACGAGGGGCTCGATCCCAGGGTCCTGGGATCATGACCTGAGCGGAAGGCAGACACTTAACCGACTGAGCCACCCAGGCGCCTTGATGTTTGTTTTTAAATATATTATGCTTGAGGTGGTACTGGTTTAGTGGAGTAAGAACGGGCAAGAGAAAAGAGATCAGGTCTGCAGATACTGATTTTATCCAGTGACAGACTAGTAAGTGTTCTTAAATGATTTAATGAGGTCTTTTTTTTAATGGTTTAAGTGTTGAAAATAGGGTTTTAAAATGGAATTAAAACTATATCTAAATTTACAGGAAGGCACATGATTCTATGAGTAACATTAAAAAATGACAAAGTAACTTTAACTCTAATTCAAAAATTCTTAATATATGTAAAATAATTTGATTATGCTATCATTCAGAACATTATTAAACAAATTTATATTATTGCTTTAGATTACTGGGACTAAAAAACGTAACTCTACTGTCTCCTTATTAAAATCAAGAGATTAGATCACAAGAAGTTGATTCTTACTACATTTAATACAGTTAAATTTTCATCAAATTCTCACTATGTCACTAACAGTCTGCCCATTAGGCACTGAGTTAGATGAGGGTGGGTGTACAGGTCTTATTTTTATCACCTGTTATGCTTTTTGTTAAGATTCTGTGATTTTCAACAAATTACTTTTTAAACTTTTATGTCATATAAAATGAATAAAGGCACACCTTGCTTTACTGCACTTTGCTTTATTGTGCTTTGTAGACATTGCATTTTTCACAAATTGAAGGTCTGTGGCAACCCTGCACGAAGCAAGTCTATTGGTACCTTGTTTCCAATAGCATTTGCTCACTTTGTGTCTATGTGTCATATTTTGGTAATTCTCACAATATTTTAAACTTTTTCATTATTATTACACGTTATGGTGATCTGTGATCAGTGGTCTTTGCTGTTACTAACGGGATGGTTTTGATGCACCACAAATCGCACCCATACAAGATTGCAAACTTAATTGATAAATGTGTGTGTTCTGACTGCTCCATGGACTGGCCAGTCCCCCATCTCTCTCTCCTCTTAGGCCTCCCTATTTCCTGAGATACAACAATATTGTGCCAACAATATTAGGCCAGTTAATAATCCTACAATAGACTCTTAGTGTTTAAGTGAAAGGACTAGCCACACATCTCTCACTTTAAATCAAAAGCTAAAAATGATTAAGCTTAGTGAGGAAGCCTTGTCCCAAGTCAAGAGAGGATGAAAGCTAAGCATCTTGTGCCAAATGGTTAGACAAGTTGTGAATGCAAAAGTTCTTGAAGGAAAATTGAAAGTATGACTCCAGTGAACACATGAATGATAAGAAAGTGAAACAGCCTTATTACTGACATGGAGAAAGTTTTAAAGGTCTGGATAGAAGATCAAACCAGCCACAACATTCCCTTAAGCCAAAGCCTAATCCAGAGCAAGGCCCTAAAACTCTTCAATTCTATGAAGGCTGAGGTGAGAAAGCTGAAAGAAAAAGGTCTGAAGCTAGCAGAGGCTGGTTCATGAGGTTTAAGGAAAGAAGCTGTCTCTGTAATATAACAATGCAGAGTGAAGCACAAGGGGCTAATGTAGAAGCTGCAGCAACAGAAGATCTAGCTAAGATCATTAATGAAAGTAGCTACACTAAACAATCGATTACACTAAACAACCAATTTTCAATGTATACAAACAGCCTTATATTGAAGGAAGATGCCACTTACGAATTTCATAGCTAGAAGGGAGAAGTCAATGCTTGCTTCAAAACTTCAAAGGACAGGCTGACTCTCCTGGTAGAGGCTAATGCAGCTGGTGATTTTAAGTTGAAGCCAATGCTCATTTACCATTCTGAAAATCCTAGGGCTCTTAAAAATTATGCTAAACCTACTCTGTCTGTGCTCAATCAACAACAAAACCCGGATGATAGCCCATCTGTTTATCACATGGTTTACTAAATATTTTAAGTCCACTGTTGAGACCTATTGTTCAGAAAAAAAGATTCCTTTCAAAATATGACTGTTCATTGACAATGCATTGGTCACCCAAGAGCTTTGATGGAAATGTACAATGAGATGAATGTTCTCATGCTGGCTAATACAACATCCATTCTGCAGCACATGGATCAAGGAGTCATTTCAACTTTCTAGTCTTATTGTTTAAGAAATACATTTCATAAAGCTATAGCTGCCAAAGAAAGTGATTTCTCTGATGGATCTGGGCAAAGTAAATTAAAAACCTTCTGAAAAGGATTAATCATCCTAGCTGCCATTAAGAACATTCATGATTCATGAAAAGAATTAAAATATCGACATTAGCAGGAAGAAGTTGATTCATAGATGACTTTGAGGGGTTCAAGACTTCAGTGGAGGAAGTAAATGCAAATGTGGTGTAAAGAGGAAAAGAACTAGAAGCAGAAGTAGAGTCTGAAGCTGTGACTGAATTGCTGCAATCTCAAGATAAAATTTTAATGGATGAAGAGTTGCTTTTTATGGATAAGTAAATAAAGTCGTTTCTCGAGATGGAATCCATTCCTGGTGAAGATGCTGTGAAGACTATTGGAATGATAACAAAGAATTTAGAATATTACATAAACTTACTTGATAAAGCAGCAGCAGAGTTTGAGAGGAATAATTCTAATTCTGAAAGTTCTACTATGTGTAAAATGCTATCAAACAGCATCATGCGTTACAGAGAAATCATTTGTAAAAGAACCAATGCTGCAAACTTCACTACTGTTTTAAGAAATTGCCACAGCCACCCCAACCTTCAACCTTCAGCAGCCACTACCCTTATCAGTCACCAGCCACCAACATCAAGGCAAAAACATTATGACTCACTGAAAGCTCAGATGATGGTTAGCATTTTTTTTTTTTTAGTAATAAAGCATTTTTAATTAAGGTATCTGCATTGTTTTTTAGACAAAGTGCTAATGTACACTTTAACAGATTACAGTATAGTATAAACATAGCTTTTATATGCACTGAGAAACTGAAAATATGTAGTGGTGTGGAACTGAACACACAAGATCTCTGAGGTACGCCTGTATTTAAAACTGAAACTGATCTCCTGAAAACACTCCACTGCTACCACCACCACCACCACCACACACTTTTTCAATGCCATTCTGCTAAGAATTGAAGGAAAACTTCACCAGCATTAATTCCCCCTTTTTTTGTACTGTGTCCATGTATTTACTGTATGTATACAATAAATATTTTAAAAAATAGTATCAACCATCAGTGCAGCCAGAGGTAATCAGAAAAAATGTGCAAAAGTCATTCACATTTCTGGGACTGAGAATTTGTTGTTTTAAAAGAGCAAGTTTACAACGTGCATAATACCAAACCACATTTGTATTTATTCCAATCATACAAAGTTAACTTTGAGTCTTGTACTATATATATTTAGATGATTTTTAAGGCCAAGAGTTAGAAAGCAGGTGTATCAGAAAAAAAAAATCATGGTCTTAAAAAATTTTTAATTACGGTAAAAAATGCATAAAACTTACCATCTCAATCATTTTTAAGTTTACAGTTCAATAGTGTTAAGTATACTCACATCGTTGTACAACAGATCTCCAGAACTTTTTCATCTTGCAAAACTGAAACGCTATACTCATTGACCAACTCCCCATTTTCCCCTTCCCCTACTTTGTTTCTATGAACCTGACTACTTTAGATATCACATATAAGAGGAATCATACAGTATTTGTCTTTTTGTGACTGGCTTATTTTACTTAGCATGATGTCCTCAAGGTTTATCCATGTTGCATCATGTGACGAGATTTCCTTCCTTTTTAAGGCTAAATAATACTCCACTGATGTCTATACCACATTTCACTTATCCAGTCATCCACCAATAGACATCTGGGTTGCTTTTACCTTTTGGCTACTGTGAGGAATGCTGTTGTGAACATGGGTGTGCAAACATCTCCTAGAGATAGAAAAAATTTTAAATTGTTTTTTTATCCAATGCCATCTTGGTGAGTGTTTCAAACTAAATGTCTGCATTGTGCTAAGCAGTTAGAAGAAAAGAGTGTCAAACACCAAAATGTGACAATGGAAAGGAATAAAAGAGTAAAACTGCAGTTAAGTATACCATATTTCTACTTACATATGGACGATGACTATTTATGTTACATAGCAAAATGCAGCACCCTTACCAGTAATTATTATGCCATCATCTTTGTGAACTTCAGTCATTTCTTGAACATGGACTTCTGAGTTCACATCAACCTCTTTCCCTGATAGCTGTAAATGAGCCTGAAGAGAAGATGCAACCTTGACAAGAATAGAGCCTATAATAAATTTTAAAAAGTTTATTAATGCAAGGAAATCAAAAATACCAGGGGCTATCTGAAAGATGATTGAAAGGGTAGGATTGCTCCTAGAACACTGTCTTTACTCCTTAGCACACTTTATTTACCCAGCAGCGCAGGGCACGTGGGTGGCTCAGTCGGTTAAGCATCTGCCTTCAGCTCAGGTCATAATCCTGGGATCCTGGGATTAAGCCCCACATCAGGTTCTCTGCTCAGCCAGGAGTCTGCTTCTCCCTCTCCCTCCAACCCTACCCCCCTGACTGTACTCGCTTTCTCCCTCTCTCTCAAATGAATAAATAAATCTTTAAAAAATATTTATAAATGGCAGTGTCTTCTCCTTACTTCCAAGGCATTCACAGTAACTTCTGTCAAGGCACGAGTCATTAGAATATTATGTACTTCTTTTGCCAATAGCCCTAGTCAGCTTATCCAATATCAAAAAAGTGAGTAGTTTACTACACATGTAGCTTGTAGATAATATTTACCATTAATTGAGCATTTACTGAGAGTAAGACAGCTTAATTAGATTATCTCTTTTAATCTACATATCGACTTTATGAGGTATTATTATAATCCCAATTTTAAAATGAGAACTTGCTCAAGTTCCCACTAGCACTAGTGTTGGAATCTAGCTTCACTTCAATGACAACAGAGCCCATGCTCTTAACCACTGTGGTATTTCACACACTGCTCCCTCATCATATTATAGGACTTGTGATTTCACTGATCACTATGACACAACTAGAATCCTAAGCTCTTGGGCTTTTAGTTGTACCTTGTGCATGTGTGCTCGGGAGGGAGGGGTGGTTGTGAGAAATAACAATAATAAAAAAAAGGGAACATGTGAATTTCAAGTAAATAATTTCAAGGGATTACAGTCTTTTGGGTACCTGAGACAAGACATTCAAGTTTATTTCCACTACAATCCTATAGTAATTTAAGCTTCTAAAGGAGGAAATAAGAAAAAGTACTCTGTTAGCTAACAATTTTCCAAAACAACTACGTAGGTTGCAGTGCAAACTCACCAACGCACTCCTGTTTCAGAAGTTTTTCTTTCTCTGTTCCTCATATATCAAATAAAGTAAGAGGCCCCAGCCATAGAACGTTAAGCCGATTTCCTCTGTGGACAAATGTGGTCAGGAGGACTTTCATTGTGAATGTTGTAAAGATTCCTTTTAAAATGCACTTCTTTATGGGTCCTTGTTTGTCTTTTAGTTTAACATCAGCCCAAGTTCCCCTAATTTCTTATCTTCTCCACCTTCCTACCTGGAGCTAGAAAGTCTGGGGTAAAACTGATAAACTCTCATAATTACCCCTCAAAAAGGGTGGGGGGGAACAAAGCATATCACTACAACTGGGTTATTTTATTTATAAAACAAATTGCTTTTCAGGTTTTAAATGTAAACTGACAGGAGATTCCCTATAACAACAGATATGAGGGATTCCGGAGGGGGAAAAAAACCTGGAAAATTTAAGAATGAATAGAAGATGCATGTTTTTCTACCAAACACACTTTATTTATTTTTTCTTTTTTTAAAGACTGATTTATTTGACAGAGACAGCGAGAGAGGGAACACAAGCAGGGGGAGTGGAAGAGGGAGAAGCAGGCTTCCCGCCGAGCAGGGAGCCCGATGCGGGGCTCAATCCCAGGATCCTGGGATCATGACCTGAGCTGAAGGCAGACGCTTAACAACTGAGCCACCCAGGCGCCCCTCTACCAAACATACTTTAAAAAGCAGAAAGAAATAGATTTTTTAAAACTTTTCTGTAGGACTTTTTATCTCCAAATACAACAAATGTGGTAATTTTATGAATACTTTTTTTCTGTTCTTAAATGAAAAAGGGATGTTAAATCTGTGAGAGCTTTAAAAATGTTAAGCAACGCAACTACTTCTATCCTCATCTCTCTCCATATCCTTAAAAAACAAGTTGTCACTACCGAAACTTCATTAGTATCTGTGAAAGAAGAATTCTCATGACTTGAAAACTTTCCCAAAGGTCCCATCCTTAACTATCTTTTTTAGAAAGAAGAGCTCTTGCTACATCTTCAACCTCTTTTACTTCATAAACTGTTTTCATGGTTACTGACATCAATACCATTTTTTTACATTAAAATGTGAATTGATACTAACTATACCATTTACTGAAGACATACTATATTAAGATCAATGGTTTCATCAAGGACAAATTTTAAATGGAAGAATCAGTACTCAGATGCAGGTCTGACTCTTAAGCCTAAATATAGCCTTTTTGAAAGAATTAATAAGGTTAACTCATAGGAAGAGAGAAAACAAGCATGCAACATTCTTTTTCACATGGCGAAATGAAGAACATCTAAGAGACTCAAGTGGTTGGCTCCCAAACCCTACAGCAAGACAGGGGCAGAGCTGGAAAGGATTCTAGATGTCTATACTAACCATTAAGCAACAGAATCCTGAATAATTTTCCATTACTCTTTTTTGTTTTTTAAATGGGTCATTCTTGTTCTTTTTTTTAAAGATTTTCATTTATTTATTTGACAGAGAGAGAGACACAGTGAGAGAGGGAACACAAGCAGGGGGAGTGGGAGAGGGAGAAGCAGGCTTCTGGCAGAGCACGGAGCCTGATGTGGGGCTCGATCCCAGGACCCCGGGATCATGACCTGAACCGAAGGCAGATGCCCAACGACTGAGCCACCCAGGCGCCCCTCCATTACTCTTTTTAAAAAGTTACTGTTCCTAAGTGTAGTTAGAATTAAAAGACCTAAAGTAAGACAGAAATTTTTGTTTCCAGTTATTTTTAAGCTTCATGCAAGTCCCAATAGGAAAACCCACAAAATTATAAACCTAATCAAATCTTGCAACATCATATGCTATTTTCAATAGGTTACTGGAACAACATCCCAAATAATGCTCAAAAATATTTTATGTGGATGAAAATTAACAATGTTTTTTGTTTTATTTTACTTTTTTGTCCATCCATACAAAACAGGAAATAACTTTCATATAAGAGCTAGTTATTGAAAACTTTGTACTCTGTTACTAGTTATAGTAAATTAGTAATGGTTTACATTTTTTTCTCTTACAGCCTTCATAATAAGAGAATGAATTATATGACTTTTATGGCACTTAAAAAATATCCTGAATGGCATTACTGAAGCTCTCAGGAATTCAGTGAGAACACAATATTATCCTATTTTAAAAGAAAAAAATGTAATCTTGAGAAATCAAATCACACCTGTGTGTCAGCAAAAAAAACTTCTGTTTTAGGTCTCTGTGTTTGTAGTTTTATTTTGACACTCTGACAAGAGAGCCTTGTTGAACAAAAACTATTAAACCAACATGACCAAGAAATTGCTAACAGCAGGAATAGCTGGTTTCTGTAAGGAAGTATTTTCCTTGTTATACATATATAGCCCTGTTCTGGCCCATATGCAAGATCTTCTAGATTTTATTCAAAAAAATTTTTAAACAGAGCTACGTATTCTTAACTTTCTGCACCCAGGTCACTTCAGCCCCTATGGCCAAGCTACTCCAAGTATCTAAGCCACTTGCCACCATGTACACACAGACATATATTCAGTCTTCATATGACTAAAAAGCGTATTAGTTTTAATGAAATACTTGAATTCTTAGAATAAGTTATTTGTAACAGAAATAAGATTATATGAAGAGACATGTCATAATAAGACTTACTACTTCAAGAGATTAAGTCAACAATCACTTTAGAGGACCTTCCTGATGATACCTTTATTTCAGGATCACACATTGCAAAGAATTACTATAGAGTGATGGCTCAAGAAGGTTGTACTACAGGATGGTAGAAAAGCTTCCAAAAGAATGTACGGCAGCATTTTCCCTCCAAAGATTATTCTAATTCAGACATAAAACCAAACTGCAAACCCAAACACTAACACTAAATAATTCCACAGTAACAGTCAATATATTTTAACATTTTTGTTTGCACTACAAAGGGAACAAGAGTCTTTATGGCCATCTGTTCCAAAAGTTTCAAAAATCATTGGTCTAGAGGGCCAGCATTCCAGTCAGTCTTTATTATTCTTTTCTTTTTCTCTTTTTAAAGAATTTATTTTTAAGCAATCTCTACACCTAGTGTGGGGCTCAAACTCACAACCCCAAGATCAAGAGTTGCATGCTCCACCAACTGAGCCAGCCAGGTGCCCCTCTGGTCAGTCTATTTTAATTTTATTTTTTAAAAGATTTTATTTATTCATTTGAGAGAGAGAGAGAACATGAGGTGGGGAGGGAGGGGTACAGGGAGAGGGAGAAACAGATTCCCCACTGAGCAGGGAGCCCAATGCAGGGCTCTGTCCCCGAGATCATGACCTAAGCTAAAGGCAGTTACTCAACCAACTGAGCCACCCAGGTGCCTCCCTCCATCAGTCTTTAAATCAAATTCTATCAAAAGAAATTTTCTTGAACTCATGATGTCAGTATAGATAAAATAATCTGACCATCTCTTTCCTGGATGTTACATAAACCTTCCGTACACTGTATATCAAAATAAAACATTCCACATGGCTAACCTTCATGGGATTTCAACTCCACTTTCCCTAGTTGGCTGACATAAACATCTATTGCACCCCGATGAGTTGAGGCCTTTAGACATCCAGAGGATGAATCTAGGAAAAAAGAAAAACCATAAATATAATCATTCTTATTGTATTAACTGAAATGATAAACTTGAATTGAAAGACTCTACTTCAGCAATAGGATAAGGCACTAAGAGTCTTGCAAGGTTTTGTATTTTCCCCACAGTTATGCCATCTTTCACTTTAAAATGAAAACAGAATCAGAAATCTACAAATCTATACCTAGATAATGAAATATTCCTATGTCTATAGTAATCTGCATAACTTATTGATAAACATGCTTACTCTGCAACCTAATATATAGGAAGGACAGTACACAAGCAGTGGACCTTTGACAGCCAAGACTATTAAGCACCATTGATATATTTAGTTTATTATCAAATTTCAATATTTACTAAAGAATTTTATCTCATGTACAGACACACAGAAGTAGTAGCAAAGTTAACAAAAATCAAAACTTCTTATATTTTCTCCTTTTAGCATATTTGGTAGTGCTAAAAAATTACTGCTAATAGTGAAAGCTTACTCCAGATAAGATTTTGTTGCATTTCTCAAACAGAAATGGAGAAAAAGGGAGTCACTTAAAGAGAGGGTGAAGCTTGTTTATATCTAAGTATTTCTTTTCAAATTTCTGGAATTGAACAGGTATCTTTCAGTCAGGAGAAGAAAATCGTAATTAAAGTGGTGCTGATTTGAAACTCAAATCTCTGTCATCACTGACCCCAGTTTTCAAAAAGCCAACATTTCAAGTTCAAGGGAAAACTGACCAAATTAGAGATAAAGAAGTAAGAGAATGATGTTGAAGAGTCAGCACTAAATAGCTTCTTCCTTCTCAACCATGGCAACTGAATCTTTAATTTAATATTCTGTCTGACTGCCCTGGGAGGGCCAAAGCATATTTTTTTTAGAAAAGTCTCTTAAAAAGCATATTTTATCAGGAACTTTACTACTTCAAAGTGAAACAAATTAGGGAGTGTGGTGAAAATAATGCCAAAAATTATATTAAACTTTTAATAAAATGTGAAGAAAAAACATTTGTATACTAGACATTTTTCTTCAAATTTTTACATGACCCTGAACAAGGCAACTTGAATAAACTGGTTAAAATCTGGCCCCAAGATAATTCATAATAATTATCTGTAATCTAAACTGAAAATGGCCTTTATTGGACCCACTTTATTTAAGTTCAAAAGTAAACACTGATGCTGGGAAATTAAGCCATTAGTGATAAATGACATAGAATAGTTGGGCAAAGATGAATCTCTCTCTCCTCAATTATCAACAGAAACTCCTCTTAAATAACCTCTGAATGCATCCTAAAAGAAGCCAAGTAAAAATACATTATGATTAAAAAAAATGTGGAACTACACAATGTGTGTATTATCCCAGGTTGAATAAAGTAAAATATTTGAAACATTAGTTTGATTTCTTGCTTTCTCTAGGGGGAAAAAAAATCACAAGATTTTCATGAGGCTAATAAACACTACTTTTCACTTCTTCCCCCAAGCCAATGGGAAATAACAGCTAAATAATTTTATCACAAGACACTGAGTAATTACATCTTCATGTTATCAGTCTTGAGCTTTGATAATGGCCCATCCCTTGGAGACTGTCAAAAAAATAAAATAAAATAAAACTCAAGATATGTTTTCAAAAGAGAAAGCAAAAGTGATATTTGAAAAGCTATGTAGCAAATGATTGGAACTAAAAATTAATTATCAAGAGTCAAATTAAGACTTCCTCTTCAAAATTTCATTTTTTGGAAATTCACATAATGGAGAAATTCTATAGGTCTCAGAAAAAGCCTTAAGGGAAATATGCATTAGAGGGCGATTAAGAAGTGAACAGAAATTATCAGTCTAGCTAGTGTTTGGAATAAGTGGACTCACAGAGAGCTTTCTATCATCACAATTTTGGACAGGGAGGAGCAAGATGGCAGAGGAGGAAGAGACCTAAATTTCGTCTGGTCCCAGGAATTCAGCTAGATAGGGATCAAACCATTCTGAACACCTACGAACTCAACAGGAGATCAAAGAAAAGAATAGCAGCAACTCTCTGAACAGAAAAGCAACCACCTTCTGGAAGGTAGGACATGCGGAGAAGTGAATCCGAGGCGATATTCGGGAAGACAGAGGGCGAGGGGAGGGGGCCTCTGTCAGCCGCTACCGGCAAGAGACAGAGCAGCAGAGAACAAAATCGGAAATTTTAGGAGTTGGCTCTGCTGAGGGATGTCCTCCAGTGGCTAAGCAGGGGGTGGAACATTAGCTGGGACAGTGTGGTCTCAGGACCCTCGGGGTCACAGAAAGACCGGGGGTGCCTGAGTGCGGCAGAGCTCCCAGGTATCGGAGCAGGGAAGCTGGCTGCAGAGATGGAGCCAAGGCACGGGCTCTCGGGGTTGCCATAAACTGTGATCCGCAGCACAGTCAGGCCACTGCTCTTCCAACAGGGACCCAACAAACAGCAGATCCGGGGAGACTCCCCTTCCTACCCTGGGAGGAGCAGTGCGGAAGCACACCGCAGGAATCTGTGGGGTTTGGAGAATCCACCCGGGGTCGTGTGTCAGAGATAGAAATGCTGGGTCACAGGCCAGGTGAACATGGAATGCGGCCGGAGACCAGGAAGACAGGAGTGATTGCTTTTCTCTGGGGGCTCACTGAGGAGTGGGGCCCCAAGTTCTCGGCTCCTCCAGGTCGGAGATTAGGAGGCTGCCATTTTCATTCTCATCCTCCAAAGCTGTACAGAAAGCTTGCAGGGAACAAAAGCTCCTGAGAGCAAACCCGCGCAGATTACTTAGCCCAGATCGGCAAGGGCGGGGCAATTCCGCCTCCGGCAAAGACATCTGAGAACGACTGCGACAGACAGAGCAGCAAGAACAGGCAGCCAAGACCAAGTTTACCGATCAATGAGAACGGCAGAACTCCAGCACTAGGGGAATACAGCACATAGAATTCATGGCTTTTTCCCCCATGATTCTTTAGGCTTTCAAAGTTAATTTTTTTAATATTCTTTTTCTCCTTTTTCTTTTTTGAATTTTTCTTTTTCCCTTTTTCAACCATTTTATCAATCCCTTTTTAAAAAATCTTTATTTTTCATTTTTAAAGTCATATTCTATCCCTTCATAGTAATTAACGTTATTGTTGGTATATATATAAGTTGTTCTCTAAAATTTTGAGATACAGTTTCTTCTAACAAATCAAAATATACCCTAAATCTCTAGTGTATGGCTTTGTTCTAGTCTCCTGCCTGATCACATTTTCTCCCTTTTATTTTTTTAATTTCTCTTCTTTTTTTTTTCAACCAACTTATCAATTCCTTTTATAAAATCTTTTATAATTTTCATCTTTACAGTCATATTCCATTCCTTCATTGTATTTACCCTCATTTTTGTACATATATAAGCTTTCCTTTCTTTAAAATGTTGGGAGGCAGTTTCTTCTAACAGACCAAAATATGCCCAAAATCTAGTGTGTGGCACGGATCTATTTACCAGCCTGATCATATTTGATCATATTTTTTTTTTTTAATCTCTTTCTTTTTCTTGATTTTTTTTCTTTCTTTCTTTCCCCTTCTTTTCCCCTGGTTTCAGGTCTCTTCTAATTTGTTTAGTGTATACTTTTATGGGGTCCTTGTTACCCTGTTAGCATTTTGTTCTCTCATTCATTTATTCTCTGGACAAAATGACAAGACAGAAAAATCACCTCAAAAAAAAGAACAAGAGGCAGTACTGACTGCCATGGACTTAAACAATACGGACATTAGTAAGATGTCAGAACTAGAGTTCAGAATGACGATTATACAGATACTAGCTGGGCTTGAAAAAAACATGGAAGATACTAGAGAAACCCTTTCTGGAGAAATAAAAGAACTAAAATCTAACCAAGGCGAAATCAAAAAGGCTATTAATGAGGTGTAATCAAAAATGGAGGCTCTAACTGCTAGGAAAACGAGGCAGAAGAGAGAATTCGTGATATAGAAGACCAAATGACGGAGAATAAAGAAGCTGAGAAAATGAGAGATAAACTACTGGATCACGACGGCAGAATTCGAGAGATAAGTGATACATAAGACAAAACAATATTAGAATAATTGGGAACCCAGAAGAAGAACAAAGAGAGAGAGGGGCAGAAGGTATATTGGAGCAAATTATAGCAGAGAACTTTCCTAATTTGGGGAAGAAAACAGGCATCAAAATCCAGGAGGCACAGAGAACCCCCCCCTCAAAAATCAATAAAAATAGGTCAACTCCCTGATATCTAATAGTAAAACTTACGAGTCTCAGAGACAAAGAGAAAATCCTGAAAGCAGCTCGGGAGAAGAGATATGTAACCTATAAAGGTAGAAACATTAGATTGGCAACAGACCTATCCACA